TAAGGGTGAAGAAAGCAGTTGTATTTTTCAGTCCTAACTTGAAAGGCGCCTCCTCCATCTTGAGCCCAATGCAGTCCGAGAGCCATATGTAATCCATTCCTTCCCCCTGTGCATGTGCCAAATCCCTGAAATGAGGCAAGGGAGTTATTTTAGTATTGAATATGCACCCCAAACCTCCCTTTGGCTCCATCTTTGGCTTATTGGTAGTTTAGTTATACTTTGTGTTAACTAACCTTTTGTTTTTAAATTAGTTTAAGAAACAGTTGAAATAAGAGAAAACTATGCATTTAATATTGGATCTATTAAAAGTGCCCATTCAAGTTCTGTGCATGTGTAAGAATAATAAACTTAGAACAAAAAGTATTCTTAATATTAAGGCTTTCAAAAATTTCCCCTCTAATGGCTAAAACCCACCATAAATAAAGACAACCAGCCACCACTAATCACTCAACTCATTCCATCCAGCAAACCATTATCAGAATTAGTATCTGTTCTAATATTATAAAAGCCTTAGTCTGTCTTTCTGTCCATAACACTTTATTCTCACTCTCATTGGTTGTCTGAAGCAACCAATCAGAGTGCTCAGAGAGCGTTCTAGACAGGTGGCGGTGACGTGGCAGAGCACTGTCATGACAGCAGCGATGGAGCAGATGAAGCGGGGAAGGCGAAGGCCAGCATTGCTGGCCTCACTTTCTCCCCCCCCAGCCCTGCTCCCTGGAGGTGACAGTGGCACGGGGTGCTGGCTGAGGGGGGATGGCAGGGCAAGGTAACTCCTGGGAGGTGGCAGCATGAGGAGCTGGCAGTGCAGTGCTGGCCTCGCAGCCTTGCTCCCGTGCTCTGGCCTTTCTGCCACCGGGCCCCGACAAAAGCCAGCAGAGGGGGGAAGGAGGGGGGGGGGGCACAGTGGCATTTTCAGAGTTAGCATTATTATATAAGTACCCACACTGAACTCAGCATTGTATAAAATAGTTATATTAATCTGAAATCAAGCAGAAAATGAGGCAACTTAGAGAACAGGTTCAGTGAGGCATATGCTTTCAGAAGCAATAGGCTACTTTGTAGTATCTGATAAAGTAAGCTATCACCTACCATAACTTTTGTGTTTCTGAATGAGTTGGTCTGTAAGGTGCCACTCTGCATTGTATAAAGTGCAAATGTTTAGTCCCAAGTCGATCTAAAAGATGGGAGAAATGGGAGATGAAAATTCAGAAAACTTCTCTTTTTAAAAATTAATTTAGCGATGGCATTATACTAACATGGTTTAATGTTTCTAGGATTTATGGAATAAGTAGGCTTTAATATTAATTTGATTGAAGAAAAGGGATTGTATTGGAGTAGGAAGTGAAGGTAAAAAGATGAATGAGTGTTGAGTGGTAGGCTGACATCAGTGGAACAAGAGGGTTGAAAGCATCTGATGAGGAACAAGGGTAAAGATTTAGGTAGGACAGCCTCCCCTTTAGCGTTTTACACATTTTTATCTCTCTCTCTCTCTCTCTCTCTCTCTCTCTCTCTCTCTCTCTCTCTCTCTCTCTCTCTCTCTCTCTCTCTCTCTCTCTCTCTCTCTCTCTCTCTCTCTCTCTCTCTCTCTCTCTCTCTCTCTCTCTCTCTCTCTCTCTCTCTCTACACCCATTCATTGTCTGCATTTATGGGGGATGCCAAAAGAGGAAATTTGTGGGAAGGCTTACAGCAGTGGTAACATCTTTTCAGATTCTGTTTCCTGCCTGAAGCATCTATTTAGACAATTTTTTTCTACAGCAGCTACTTGGAAGCCCTTATACTCTTCTTGTAGAAATTCAAGCTTTTCTTAATTTCATTTTTTTTAATTCATAGGCAAGTACTTGCCCAGTTCTATTCATGTACTTCTTTTTTTGATTCCATTAAACCAGTTGGAACTTCATGTTCCAAAGTCATTTGTCTCCAAAACGTTGCTTGAATTTGGTTGCAGAGTTTTTGCTATATTGTATATGTGCACATGTATGTGCGCATCTGAAATTCTGTTTTCTGTAATATACGTTTTTCTGGCTCTTCAGTTTACGAATTTGCTGTTTTGTCAAAAGTACTTTCCTCCAGAACTGAGATCGGAATCGGTTTCTAGGATAACAAAGCAACATCACAGGTGATCGTATCACAGTACACATAGAAAAACTTTTCTGGTGGTCCCTGCTGTTGGTACAGAGAATAAAGATTCCACAAATTGCTTTCAGGCTTCTCTTTCCCATTTGGGAACACAGTACTCCAGTTGCTGAATGACTACATGTAATGTCTTTCTTTAATCTGATTTACTCCTCTTAGTACTGTACTTACAGCTGCCATAACTGGACCAAGTTAAGGGAAAATGAAGTATGGTAGAATCTATAAATAGACTAGCCTACTCAAATTGAATGTTTGGCTTCTCACTCTATAATATCTAACTGTATATGTTGATGTGCATCTACTTGGTGATCTTGGGCAAATTACTTTAGTTCTGTGTACCTCTATTTTCCTGTCAGTCAGTGAATACAGTGATACATACCACCCCTGGAAAGCTGAATATTTAGCAATATGAAGAAAGTGTGTTGAAGAACTGGCTTATTTTTGTGAAAATTTGAGTATTTTTTTATATTGGAAATGATTGAATAATAAAGTAAAGATCATATACATAGACATTAGGGCCGGAAGGAACCTCAAGATCGAGTCCAGCCCTCTGCCCCAGGGGCGGGAATTCAGCTAGGGTCAAAGGATCCTAGCAATATAGGTGTCCAAATGTTTCTTAAGAGTCCAGAGTAGGTGCTTGCACCACCTCTGGAGAGAGTCTATTCCAGGCCTTGGGAGCTCGGACAGTAAAGAAGTTTTTTCTTATGTCCAGCCTAAAACGGGTTTGGAGGAGTTTTGTGATTATTTGACCTAGTCATCTCTTGGGATGCTCTGGTGAACAGGCATTTCCCCAGATGCTGATGTACACCCCTCATGTACTTATAGGCAGTAATAAACTTATAGGCAGGGAAAATAATTATATGATTAACAATACATATACATATGTATATGTATTGTAAATCAATGGATTTATATATTACTAGAAATAAAAACTTTTCATGTGCGCAGTATTTCTCCATTAACTTGGTGCGCTAATTTGAATTTGTGTTTTTAATGGGGGTTTTGTTATAATCTGTTGTATAACGATATAGTGAATGACTATTCCAGGGCACATCCAGAAAAAAACAGGTTTGTTTACAGTACAGTGTACATTATTGCAGAAATACTTGAGCTAGCTTTAAATGGACTCTCCAGTACCAGAAGCAGTCTGTCTGTGACAGCAGAGACCTGCATAGGCTAATTTACTCTGCCATCTAAGGCAGTGGTTCTCATCCAGGGTGCCAGGAGGCATGTACAACTGTCCTGTCCGCTTCTGTTTCTGAGAGCATCATAGGGGAGGCCCAACCAGGAAGGACTAGACAGTATAAGGCAACTTTTCTGCCAGCTCTATGCTGATTAGAGAGCCCCAGTGCAGGAGGAGCTGGCTGTGCAGCAGGCACATGGGACATTTTCATTTGGAGGCAGCAGATCCCAGTTGAAAACAGTGGTTTTCAGCCAAGGGTGTCACTGCATTCAAATAAGTGATGGTGGGATGCCATGATCCCGAAGAAGTTGGGAGCCCGTGGTCTAGGGTCAGTCTGTAGTGTTAACATACCCATAAAGTCAAGATTGAGAGAAACATTCCTTTTATTTTTCCTAGCATTTGTGTATTCATTTTCAATTGTTGAAATTATTTTGTTTCCTGAAAATTAAAATGAAAGGAAATGTAAAATGAAGGTGAAAAGTAGGCATCGGGTTATCTGATGATAAAAATCCTTCCAAAAATAGTTCTGTTACTAAAAGTTCTACATTCACATCTGGTTATCCCATTTAAAAAAATCAAAATAAACAATGAAACCTGATCAGTTGAGCCCAGTATTACTAGGGGTCTGCCAGAGTAGAGGCGACTGCCAGCAGATTTAGTGGGTTGGGTAGCCATTTTTGCAGGAGAAATGCAGCTGACCTCTCACCACTGTTTGGCTCTGAGCACTGCCTGTTTTGCGGACCCACTTCTCCCTGCTGATTGGCGAGGGACAGGGCCATACGACATATAGCCATTGCAGCCAATGTTGGGGGGGTGGCAGCCATCTTGTTGTGCCAGCAGTCCCCCACGCCACTCCTGCCCCAGTGGGCTGCACAGCTGGGCTACAGCAGCCACAAGGACTGCTGGGTACTCAAGGAGCCAGCATTTTATTTTTGGTAAGTTTGGTTTTCTTTTCAGGGAGCCTGCCAAAAGCAGAGACCCCATACTTTTTTGCAAAGCCTGCTTGAAATCGCGATTTCTGCAAAAATTGCAAAGTTGCTATTTCAATAGTTCCATAGCTCTGTCTACTTAAATGGACCAGCTTCCAGTATTGCTGTTGAGTATGAGAATGTTAGGGTAAATTCAACCAAGGGCTTCCAACAGTGAGGCCTCCGTCTGACCTGTGCTAAAATGAACTTATGTGCTTGTGCAGGAAGACTGACAAGTCTCTGCAGGTTCTCTGGTGAGTTTCCCCTTGTGCAAATTAGGAACCATGAGTTTCAAATAAGTAATCATGGGGAAGCTGCAGTCATCACTGTGAAGTAAATTCAAGGGAAAGAAATATTTGGTATTGTATGGCCTCTAATCAGCTTTTGGTGATTTGGGCTTTTTTAGGGGGACTGTTTTCTGTAGAAAACACTTGACTCAGCTACTGATCCAACTTCAGAGCATATGTATCTTAATAAATGAGACTCATGAACACTCTGACATGTTTAATATTTTGTTTTTTATTGGGGTTATAGTAGAAGAATCACAGTAATATTGCATATTTCATCTGTTTTTAATATTGAAAAAGTAATGCATTCATAAAGTGGCAATTACCATTCCTAGTAACAATTTTCTTTTTCTTTTTTTTCTTCCTGCCATGTTCCTGAATTGCTCACTTGCTTGTGGGAATGAATATTTTGGCCTTTGCGAATTATAGAACCTATCGTGAAGAATGGCAGGCCTCCAACATCTCACAGTATGCACTCATTTCTCCACCAATACACAGGATCTTTCAAGAAGCCGCCTTTACGGCGACCACACAGCGTTATTGGTGGCAGTCTTGGCTCCTTCATGGCAATGCCTAGGAATGGAAGCAGATTAGGTAATTTATTATTTTGGTTATTTAACTTCATACTGTCTATATTGATTCTTCCCAACAGATGTAGTTGTTCTGATACTTTAGTTCTAAATTTGCTGTGGGAATGCAACACTATTGCTATGGTTGTCATAGAAACACAAGTTGAAATTGTTGAACATCTCATTTAAGCTTTTAAAGAAGGAAACTGATAAAGGACTATAGAGTGTTATTTCACGGAAATCGCCTACACAGGCTTCTGATGACACGTATAACAGTTACAAAACACTTTTCTTTTAGTAAGTTCTAAAGTGCCTATTTGACCACAGCATTTGAGCACTGCTTGAAGATACAGGAATTCAGGAATGGCAAAAATTCATAACTATATCTTTATTTCTAGGATTTGAACAATGGCACATTGCTAGAATTTTCATTAATCTAAGCAGGGAACTATCACTTAAATATTTTAATCATTTTTGCAATTGTATAAAGCTACTTTTTTTTATACTCTTTGCCAGTCTTGGTTCTTAGGAACAAATAATGATTTGCTAAAAAAATCATAGAAAATTAGGGTTGGAAGGGACCTCAGGAGGTCATCTAGTCCAACCCCCTGCTCAAAGCAGGACCATCCGCAACTAGATCCTTCCAGCCAGTGGTTTGTTGAGCTGGGCCTTAAAAACCTCCAGGGATGGAGATTCCACCACCTTTCTAGGTAACCTCTTCCATTGTTTCACCACCCTTCTAATGAGAGTTTTTCCTAATATTCAACCTAACTTTCCCTTGCTGCAACTTGGGACCATTGCTCTTTAAATGTTTTTTACATTGCCCACACCTACCATTCATTTTGTGTGCTGGCTAATAATGCTAATTGATATCAATCATTGTAATATTTTTAATTACTTTTCCTGCCCCATGCCCTTCCTCCAACCAATTTCTTAGTACTAGAAGGCAGGAACAGTTGCGGGTTAAATTACATTTCATTTGATTTAGGTTTTTACTTCTCTACTTCTAAGGAAACTTCTACTCTACTGCTAAATGAAAGTGGAATTTAGGCAAATTCCTCCAAGGCTAAAAATGTGTAACTTTTGAGGTGATTGTTGAACTATCTACATTCTGGTCTATTCTGTGATGTCACATATTCTCTTTCTCATAGAGGAGTGCAGGCTGTGTTGTACATGTTCTCCAGGGACTTCCACTTGACTTCACCTAAAGGTCCCAAGTACCTATTTTGTTTGTGCAGTCAGGCTTTGCTTGAGTTGGATGAGAAGCAGCCTCAGGCACTGAATGGAAGATGCATTTTAAGTATTTAATTTTATTCATATAATTCATTTATATAGCAAGATGCAAAGAAATCTAACTGCTTTAATTCTGTGTTCTGTATTATACGTATATGTTACAAATGACATAACATGACACATTCCACATATAGTAACAGTTTTAACATACATTTTTGCATGTTAAGCTTAAAATATGATACTTGTAAAATTGTAGATTTTTCACTACGTGTGAATTATGAGTAAATAACATGTTCTTCAGACTTTTCACTAACAATGTTACAGTAGGGTTCAGGTGTCATGTTGGTTCAGGAAATATTTGTAGTGCAAAGGTTTTTTGTGGGGGGAAGACATATCTTATAGGATCAACTGTACAATTGAAAGATATGATAGACAAGCTTTTGGGCACAAAAGTACCCATCCTCAGGTCTGAAAGTGCTCTTGCCCTATATAGTTGGTCCAAAAAAAATATCAACAACCAACCCTGTTTCTTTCACTAAAAATGTTAATTGGTTTTATAAATTGTTTATAAAATGTATTTTTACCTTAAATGATTTTTACACTTATTTAGAACTATTTCCTGCTTGAAAAAATGTTAGTAGTGTATACAAGTATTATGAGTGAAAGTTAAGTCTTTGTTTCTCTTTTCAAGGCTGTTAGCTTTCTATTTAAAGATGAAATTCAAAATACGAAAGCCCTGAACTCTGTGGTGAGGCCGTTGTTTTAGAAAACGTGTTGCCATACCCATTTCATATTGAGTTTTGCAGCTCCACCACAGCAGTAGATTTGATTTAAAATGTAAATACACGCTTTGGTTTTTTGCTAGTGCTTTAATAAAAATTAAAAGCAGGTTTTCATAAGAAGAAACTTCCCATGCCAACGTTTTGCCCACCATCTTTTGACCCCCTCCGGTAACAACATATGACAGTTCTCAGCAACATGACAGTGTTCAGTTTACCTGTATGGTGATACTACCAATACATCTATTTTTAGGATAGTTATCTTGCATTTTGTATTTAGCACTTTATAGACTTTGTAACTTTGCTACTATCCTTCCCTTTATGTTTTGCTGCCAATGCAGCATTCTTTGGATTTTTAAATTAAGTTTTCTGACATGGTAGACAGGTGGGAAAAATTATTTGTTGAAAAATAAAATGGCGTATTGGTACATAGTAGCAAGACCCAGGAGAGTATAATTGCTGCTATTCATTCTCTACTACTTCACATGTCTCTACTTTTTGCTGCTGTCACATGGAGATACTTATTATTCAATAGGGTCACATCTTCTCCATTGAGATTATCATGTCAGATATAAATTATTCAAGCATTCTTACCATCTCTTTCTTCTGTTTTTTGTCCTTTTGCTATCCATTTACTTCTCTGTCCCACTAGTGGGATTGCAGAATCAGAGAGAAGTCCTTGGTGCAATACTGCACAAAGTGGAAGGATTTAAAGAAATATCCACTTTGATTATAAATAAACTATAGAATTAGGAGTAATATATAAATGTACAATATGGGTAAGTATCACTTTTCCAAGACCTACCCTATTTGTACATTTACAGGCTGCTTGCTTATGACTGAAACAATAATCAGTATTTGGTGGAGCTGCATTGAATTTTTTTTCCTTGAATTCAGGCACTCATACTGCAATGTTAAGGTTGCAGACATAAGATAATTTGTATCCAAAATGTGTTCCCTTTAGTAACTTCCCTGTTGTCTGTAGTTTTGTAAAAAACCCTTTTTCTCTGAATATGAATCTGACATGGAAGTGTCCTTTTATTTATCTTCATAATATTTTAAATATTGGTGGCCATTTTTGTTTGGTTTTCAAATCGCATGAGGTTTATAAATATTGAAGAATCCTGCTGCTTCACTGGTTTCCATTCACATGCAGCATAGTAATATTTCCTCACAATGCATTTGATTCTGAATCAGAGTGAACTTTGTTTCAGTTCAGTTTTACAATGGGAGGAGTGCATTATCTTGGAAATTTGAATAATGGAAAGAACTGCTTACCTCTTATATTCAGTCACCATAACTCCTCATCTTACTTTGTGGTGATATCCATTTTAATGTCTAAATTTCAACAACAGAGAAATAATAAATGCGGTTTACAAGTTCATCTCGAAAGAATCAAACCTGGAAACCAAGGTGACTTTCAGCAATAGGAATGAAGAGCCAATAATTGGCAGCCTGACAGATGGCACTCCTGTAACTTACTGTTGGCTAACAACGGATATTATTTTAGCTCAGTTGAGAGCTTTTATTTTGTAGACCAGAGTTTCCCAGTTTGAAATGTTTTGCTAAATAGATTCCTTGTAAATGAAATGAGGGTATCCCCTCTTTTAATAGTAATTCCTTGGTTCGTTTTGGGATACAACATTACATGATTAGTATGTGCTTATGAAGAATGTCTTGCACTCAAAAGCTTGTCTAACTTTATTGCAACCATGCAGTTGGTCCAGTAAAAGATATCACCCCAAAAATCCGTGCCTCTTGTAACATTTTTTATGAAGTTAGACATTTTAAATTTAATACTTCATTTGCACATTTATAATAAGGTATGTAGATAAAGTGAAATAGCAAAGTAGAGAAATCCTATGGCAATCACTGAGCTCAGTTCAATAAAAAACTATATTGGGACTATAAAAGCTTCAGGCCAACCTACTCAGAGAAAAGTTTAGCCCACATGGAGTACTATTTGTCTAATGCTGTCTGATCACCTAATAAAACCCTGCCATAATGTACATATGAAAAAGTGCCAATTAAGGTTGCTGGGTAAACCCCTACTATTCTTGGGTTTTGTGGTTTTTAGAGCATCAAATGTAAGGTTGAACAGATGTATCTTTATATGCATAAAACATATAAAGTACTTTTTTGCTAATACATGTTTATACCATACTAGCACTAAGCACTAGCACTTTCAAAAGTGGGAGGTAAAAAATACTTATCTGGGTACCTGTCAGATCTTTATAACAGCTCTGAATCCTTGAGGTCATTGGGAGATACAAAGTCCAAGTAATCAAAGGTCTGCCTGGACCCAATGGTTTATTGAGCTAGTGTGATTGAAGGAAACATTTCTATAACCAAAGACAGAGTGGGAAATAGAGTGGTTAGTATTCCATCCAGCTTTATTTGACTCCCTAGCTCAAATAACCATTTACAGTGAATTAGCTGGGGAAATCCTGTGGCATGAGTCCAGACTAAGGCTTTGAACTCGTGCCTTCTGGAGCTGGAAATTTTAAACTACTATCTACTGTGTCCTGGCATTGGATACTCAACACTTCTAAAATGTAGGCATCCTCATCAATATGGATGTTAAAGCCAAAGTTTAATCTTCTCTTCAAAAGTTCTTCGATAAAACAATTTTATATGCAATTATTACTACCAGTTATGGATCATAATAAGTGTGGTATACTCATCTTCATCTTGTGTAGGTGTAGATTATCAGATTTGGAAAGCCTGAGATGGATCAGGTTTTTTTATATTATTTCCCTAGGTTGGTATTGGGGTGTTATCTTCTTGAAATAATGTTATCTGTTCAAATTACATATTTTTATGATTAGTAAGCCAGTCTATTGACTGGTCAAATAACACCAGTTTACCAGTTAATTCACTGTACTATTTGACAATGATAAAATATTTCACCAAGCCAAGAATGCCCTTATGCAAACAGTGGATAACTTCCACACACAGTTCTGCACACTTTGTTCTTCACTTCCAGGGCCAAGGCTTTTCTGCTGATGATTCA